ACTCCGGTTGCGGTTGCTGATGAACAACATTTGACTGCGGGTGCTGAACTGTTGCGGTAGCTGAAGTGGTTGCGGTAGCTAAGTTCAAGAGGGTCACTTTTATGATTCAATAGAAACGTTCGGAGGCGGGTGATGTCATGCGCAGTATCACAACAGTTGTATCATAGTAAGCAAAGTAAACACAACCATTACATTACAATATGATTATTTACATCTGTTTGAAAACATAGTTTGTACATAAGAGTATATAACAAAAGTAAAAGACGTGACTCCAAATGCTCCGTCTTCTCTAAAAGTTGATAAAAGTACCTGTCTATTGTTGTCCTGAGAATAAAAGTAGTTTGAAAGAGTATCAACATAAAGCTGGTGAGTTCATAAGTATTTATTTCTGGTGAAAGATGTTTCTATGATCCTTTGAAAAGTGTTTCCCAAGAAAATCTTGTATTTTCTTCTGAAAGATGTTTGATTATCCATTAGCTATTTGCTAAACAATCCGTTTATGAAAGGTTGAGTTATCCCGGGAAAATCCTATATTTTCCCTAAAAGTTGATGGTTGGTTATCTGTTTCTAGTCTGAAGTGTACAAGTATCTACCATACCATGTTTCACGAGTTCATTGCTTTTGTTTGAAAACTGTTTCTACGAGTTGATTTCTTAATCGTTTGGTAAAACTGTTTTATGTGTTTAAAAGCATGATGAAAATATAATTATCTATACAAAATAATATACATTGAGCACAAGTTTCCTTGTACTTTTGCTTGTATTCCCCCCCCCCCCTTAAAAACATGAAAATCTCGGAAAAAGCGTATGGGTATGAACTCACTGTTTAACGTAGGATTTGAGTGTACGATCGGGATGAGTGCTGAGTGTCAATTGATGTTTCGTACTCAAGTGGACCCTATTAACATATGATTACACATACACGTATTAGATGAGGACATAACACTATTTGTTATGGAAGGAAACCACCTTAGGGACTAGGAAACACTTGAAACTAAGTGTTCGAATCACACGTGATTGAAGATGGGGAGTTTGCAGCCGTAATCAGGAGTGTACGGTCAGGGTTTTGCGGTCCAACATGGTTTACGACCCATGAGTTTGTGGCTCAAGTGTTTGCGGTCCATGGGTTTACGGCCCATGGGTTTACGGCCTATGGGTTCATGGCCCGTGAGTTTACGGCCATAAACACTTGGTGAGAGGTGTGATTTTTGGTGTTCCAGGGTCCTTTCTAGCCTCTTGGAAATGTTCTAAGCCTTATGCACGACTCAAAGTAGGGTTTAAAGGCCAATAATCGACCAAAAATGGAGTTTACAGCCATTGAGGGGTGTACGGGCGTAAAACCCATTTCGTGTTCATGATTTTGGGTCGATTTTTAGGTGAAAACAAGTGATTCCTAGTAGATAACAAGCATAGGGAGTAGTTACTTACTGTAAGAGGCTTGGAATGAGGTTTTTAGCCACCAAGAACTAGTGTGTGTTCTTGGTGTTCTTGGTGAGAGAGAAACTCTAGAAAAAGATGAAATTTATGAGATGAAACATGGATTCGTCACTATAAAAGGGATTGAAACACAATAGAAGTGAAGAATCACTTACATTTTGAAGATTCTTGAGCAAAAACTCGAAAATTGTAGAGAGAGAGTAGAGAGAGAAAGCTTATGAGATATGTAAAGTGTGAAATGAAGGCCACTCATCCCTTATATAGGGGTGAGTTTTCGGCTTAGGGGTGGGGTGGGGTGTACGGCCGTAAACTCGAGTTTGCGGCCGTACACTCCTCTCGAAGGGGTGTTTGGTCCGGATGCTATGCTTTGACTTAGAAAACCTCGTTTTTGAACCCAAAAATTGATTGTACTGAGTTAAAAATATTTAATTAGACCCGAGATAATGCTGACAAGAGCAGAAATAAATTCCGAATTGATTTATTTTTAACAGTTTGGACGAAAGAAATTTCGGGTTGTCACACGCTAATCGCTAATAATTCGCGGTATGCAATTGGCATATGACATATCTTGGAAATATACTTCAAACACAGACAGAGGATAAACTCAGAGTTGAACTTACTCAAACCCTTGGAACGAAAGACTCCATCGTGCATTTTCCCGCACGTGATGTACTGAATCTGACCCTACTGGTCTCTCAAAACTTGATCCGAAATCTTGGGTCTCCTCCCGAGACCCTTCAATATAAGAAACTGATATGGTTCCCTCTTCCCAATGTGCTCCAAGTTAATATCCCATTCTTGGGTTCTAGAAGTCATATCATTTAGGGTCTCACAGCCCGAGATACGCACAATCTCCCTGCTATCATTCTGCAGTATGTCATGAAACCTTACGTTCTTCATTTCCTCATATGTTGCCTACTGCGGTGCCAACTAAACTCTCTCTCGAGACTTGGCAGTGATCTCTGCCACAATCTCAGTAGTTTGGGGGAGATCTAACAACTATCATGCCAACTATTGCGCCTCAATCTTCTGGACAAACTCTGTCCGGGATCTGGTCGAAAGGTCATCCGATGACATAGCATCGACCGCAACATCACTCAACTCACTACCAACCTCTTTCCATCAATCACGTGCCCGGTCCTTTAGGAAACAGGAAGTAAGTCGGACCTTGTCCCCTCTCGAGACAACGACTGGTACAAAAATATTGGCGACATCTGCCAATCACCTACTGCTAGCAATGGGGTCCCTTGCCCCATGATAATCTGGAGCTTCACAATCTTTGAACTTCCGAAACATCGATGTACACGTTCCTATCATGGCTGCTACCTCGGTGCAGAATGCACCTAGCCTCTCATCACAAATCTCTAAAATGCCCTCTTTGATTATACCGAAGATCACAAGAGTCTGGTAAGTGATACTGTGCGTACTCTCAGATCGAGTGAACTCCCTCATCTGACCATCAAGCTGCTCGGCTCCAAAGTCCGAACCTGGTCCCTTGCCGACACCAGAACTACCATCTGGTCTACCACATAGCGTCACTATACTCGGTAATATACCATCACAATCATCATAATACTCATCATAACTCGAGGGATCTCACACACTACAAGTTTCCTGGATTCATCTCAGCTTTCCTTGATTCGAGTACGGATCCTCTGCCTTCAGTAGTACGGGCCCATACTACCTTCCACATCTATCCGTACTTTCCTCAAGAACTACCTCGACTCCACCAAATCCCTTCTACTACTACTGTTGATCTCATGACAACTCATCCTAGGCTTGCCCTAGGGTAATCACCAACCCACTCTACACTATCAGCTGCATAAGAAGTCCCTTCTATCTCCACCTAACTAGATCGTGAATACGATTACATATCACTAAGACTAGATAATTCTTCGAATGAGAGATCCTACCCTACAACGGTTAGACTCAAACAAGAGCTGTGCAATAGAGCTAGACCTAACCTTCTGAAATTATTTAGTCCTCGCAATATGTAACTTAACATATTCATTTACTAGTTAGTAAAAGATAACTAGAACTCCTAAAAGCACAAAGCAAGCAACATTCGAGCATCGAGTAAACATAATCAAACATATCTCATTCAAGCCATCACTGACTAATCTGTACTAACATGCGGTTCATAAAGCTGAGATATATATAACAGGCACATAAGGCATCCTTCCTAGACCCTTAGTCCTAATCTAGCATGCAATTATCATAAAGCTGATACACATATAATAGGCACATAAGGCATCCTTCCTAGATCCTTAGTCCTAATCTAGCATGCAGTTCTCATCAACATATCATAACATAAACTTGTATGGGTAATTTGGGAGTACTTACTTGAGCTCGACTGATTGCATGCACCACACCCCTTTTCTCTTTTCAAGGTTCTTTTCTCTTTTCAAAATTATTTTTGTAAAAATGATTTTCTTTTGAAAATTTTCATACCAAGTCCTTAGTTTGAGTTCAGACGCACCCGAGAGTGTGCCCGAATCCCTCAAACCAAGACTCTGATACCAACTTGATACATCCAAAAAATACAGTCCAAAAATTTCATTTTGAAATCATTCAAGAAATCATAATTCATCAAACATCACAATAAAGATCATAAGTCATGTATGTCAAATCTTCATAACAATATACTATATCAAAATCATGTGTCAATATATCAGAGTGCAAACATCCCAGGCTAAACAAATGTTGTGTGCACTGCAAACATCCCGAGCTCCTCTTTTGAAAATCGAAGTAGCTGAAACCAAAACTGAAAACTGTAAGCACGAAGCTTAGTGAGTCTCCCCAAACTACCACATACCATACACATGATCACATAACTTGGGCCTTGCCCACTAAATCGGACCAAGATTCGGTATACATATGAACATCTCAACCATACATATAACATAATCACATAAGAAAAACATATCAACATATCGTGGGCCCCGCTCTGCTACTTCGGGGCCCGCCCGACATCGGCCTTGTCCGACATCGGACCGAGATCGAGTATACATATAAACATATCAACAACGCATATAACATAACACATCATATAAACATAACTTGGGCCTAGCCCACTACATCAGGCCCCGCCCGACATCAGCTTACCCGAAATTAGGGTTTCCTAAACCTTAATTAGGGTTTCTAGCCCAATCACGAGCCAACTCAGTCCAAGATTAAGTGTTTAGGTCCATTAGGCTTCCACTAGGCCGGGCACCACCCACTACCACCTCGAGTAGTGGTGGTCAACGGCAGCTTGTGGTGGCGGTGGGTTTTTCCCTTGGTTAATTCGGCCAAACATTAATCATTCCACATAATCCCATCAAACCCACAATTAAACACAAAAAAACACACACAACCACCCTTTACGGTGGTTTGTGGCGGTAGAAAGCAGTGGCAGGGGGCGGCATCCACCATGGTTGGCTGCCATGGCGGTTGCATGCGATTTCCGACATCCTATAAACACACACACACACACGACTAGACATGCTTTCCTTCGCCACTCTAAGCTGAGTATGCACCGAACACACCGTGACAGACACTACGCCGCCATCCTTACGGTAGCAGATGGCAGCCGAAGGACTCAACGAAAGGGGAAACTGTCCGGAGCAACAACGACGACGGACTCGGGAAAATAACAAAAGAAAAGAAGGGAATACATTACCGGCAGAAGGAGATGCAGCAGCGACAACGAACTCGCCGATCTTCATAGCCACCGACGGCGGCATTATACGAGGTTTGGCTCCGAGTTTCCAGCTTCTCGCTACGTCTCCGGATGCTAAGCATGCTGTGGCGGTACTCAACGGCGAGGCAGATGGTGACCCTATCTGATCGGAATAGTGAACGAAGGGGGGGAGGGGTGGCGGCTGACTTCACGTATGGCGGATGGATAAATATTTAGGGTTAGGGTTTTTTTGATGCTACATATTGAAACGGGAAGGGAAGGCACGAGTTTGATTCCCGTGTTTTCCTTCAAACTTAATTCATTTTTAAACACTTTGATCCATATCCATAATTATTTTTCATTTTAAGTCCAAAAATTACCCTTTAGCCCCTGATTCCATAAATTCATTTCGTTTTAGGTCCAAAACATACCAAACAGCCCCTCCTCTACAAATTATTTTCAACTGAAGTCCATATATTACCATTCAGCCCCTTAGCCTCCAAAATCTCTTCAAATTAAGTCCCCATAATTTACCAAGCAGTCTCTGCTATATTATTATTTATTTTAGGGCTACTATTATTCATGAATTTGTCTATTTATTTATTTAATAAACAGGATGTTACAAGTGTGGTCGGGTTTGAGTCCCAGTTTCGGGTGGGGTCTGTCAGACAGTGATGGAGGAGGCACACAAGTACAGGTTCTCGATTCACCTTAGACCGACAAAGATGTATTGGGACCTGAGACTTAGTTATTTGTGGCCATGCATGAAGCATGATATAGCATGGTATGTGGAGAGATGCTTGACCTGTTAGATGGTCAAGGATGATCACCAGATGCCGCATGACAAGTTGCAGCCCTTAGAGGTTCCCATGTACAAATGGGAATAAATCACCATTGATTTCATCACCAAGTTGCTGAGGAAGGCTAAGGGATTTGATGCTATTCTGGTTATTGCCGATCGTCTGCCCAAGAGTGCCTATTTTCCATTAGAGAGAGTTCTTCGCCCGAGAAATTGGCCAATATGTATATGTACGAGATTATCGCTTGCCATGGTGTACCCGTTTCTATCGTAACTGATTGTGATGTACAGTTTACCTCCTGGTTTTGGCAGAGGTTTCATGAGGATTTGGGTACAAGACTCTATTTCAACACTGCTTATCACCCTTAGAATGATCATCAGAGTGAACAGAACATTCAGATGCTCGACGACATCTTGAGGGCTTATGTTATCAATTTCGGTAGGATTTTGGACTCCTACTTCCCCTGGCTGAGTTTTCTTATAACATCAACAATCATTCTAGTATTGGTGCACCGTCGTTCGAGCTTCTATATGGAAGGAAGTGTCGTATTCCAGTTAGCTGGGGAGAGTTCGGTCATAGGGTCATGGGGAGGACTGAGGTGGTCCTCCAGACGATAAAGTTTATTCAGCAGACAAGACAGAGGTTACAGACAACTCAGAGCCGACAAAAGCGTTATGTTGGTAGGCGGCGGTCTGATTTGGAGTTCCTGGTTGGGGACATGGTTCTGCTGAATGTGTCACTTTGGAAGGGTGTTATTCATTTCAGGAAGAGGGGCGTGTTGGGTCCCCAATTTATCAGACCTTTTTGAGTAGTCGCTAGGATAGGCAAGGTGGCCTACCGATTAGATATGCCTGAGGAGCTTAGTCAGATTCATAGCAGCTTACATGTTTCCTAGCTTCAGAAGTGTATGGTTGATGATTCGGTGGTGATTCCGTTGGACGACCTTCAAGTTGATGAGCACATGATTTATGTAGACATACCGGTAGCTATCTTGGATAGAAAGTCGATGACATTGCGCAACTAAAATGGTTTCCAAAACACCTCACGAGATGTGGACAAGGAAGGTTCCCTCGTTAGCACATATCATGGTTTGGGGTTTCGAGGCTTTCCTAAGACGGAAGACCCACGACAAGCTCGAACCTCGAAGTGAGCGTTGTATTTTCATCGGCTATCGACAGAAATCCTTTGGATATCTCTTCTATAGACCGAGTGACAATGTTGTCTTCGTTGCAAGGAGAGGAGTCTTTCGCGAGAGAGAAATCATATGCCAAGAGGACAGTGGGAGGAAAATTGACCTTGAAGAGCTTCAAGAGTTAAGCGATGAAGGAACCTCAAACACTAGCGCTCAATCCGAGGAGGAAACTCCTATTGAAACGATCGACGAGTCCTTACCTCTGAGGCGTTCCAGTTGAGTTAGACAAGCACCTGAGTTTTATGGTTTCCATATTACTACTGAAGGTGACACATTTATTAGTGATAGTACACTGGTAAACTTGGATGAACCTAACAACTACAAGGAAGCCATGGCAGTCCCCGAGTCTGCGAAATGGAAAGAGGCAATGGACAGCGAGATACAATCCATGTATGATAATCAAGTTTGGAACATGGTTGACAATGTATTGGGTTGTAAGACAGTCGGGTGCAAATGGATATTCAAGAAGAAGACCGACATGGATGGGAAACTACACACATATAAGGCATAATTGGTTGCGAAGGGCCTTACTCAAACTCCTGGAGTTGACTATAATGAGAGCTTCTCACCAGTGGCTAAGATTAAATCTATTAGGATTATGCTAGCCATAGCTGCATTTCATTATTATTAAATATGGCAAATGCATGTCAAAACCGCTTTCCTTAATGGGAAGTTTGTTGAAGATGTTTACATGAATCAGCCAGAGGGTTTTATCAATGCAAAGTATCCTTATAGAATGTGTAAGCTTGATAAGTCCATTTATTGATTAAGTCCATTTATTGATAAGTCCATTTATTGATTAAAGCAAGCATATTGCAGATGGAATCTTTGTTTCGATGAGAAAGTCAAAGAGTTTGGTTTTTTGAGTGTAACACCATAAATTATCAAACAAATTTTTTTCATTTTAAAACACAATAAAACACATGTCACATTCCTTCAAAAAAATCACAAGTATCAATTTATCAACACAGTTTAAAAGTTGTTTATCGCAAATCTAGGATCCTCAAAACATAACTCTTTTTCTCTTGTGTGTACAATCAAACCGACGCCTTCCCGCGATCCTGATAAGAACCTGAAACACATAACACATAACACGGTAAGCACGAAGCTTAGTGATTTCCCCAAAATACCACACATATCACATTAGCCACTCGAGGCTATAACGAGAATAAGACCCTCCAGTCAATGTGTCTCAGTGGAGACCCTCCAGTCCCATAACTCGGGTGGACCCTCTGGTCCTATCTCTATAAGCTCATAACAATAATACACAACATAAATCACAAAGACATAATGCAGGATATCAGAATACTCTTTTCATGACTCTAATAAACTGAAGGCTATTCTTTCTCTCTCTAACTCTTGAAGTAGATAAAAGACCATTTTACACCTCCATGGTCTCCATTACTCATGTTGACCAACCCCTAAAGTCAAGAGTCCATGTTTGACTCGACTCACCGAGTGCACCCTTGTGACTCGTCGAGTCCTCTCGTTTCCTCAGAAGTATCGTGAAGGTCCAACTTAGCTCGTGGAGTTGACCCGCAACTCGCCGAGTTATCGCATGATCAATCTCATCAGTACAAACCGTAACAGACTCGTCGAGTCGGCTCATCGACTCAGTGAGTCCATTCAAACACATTCCTCATTCAGACGATTTCAAGGCAGAAAACCTTTCCAAACTCTATACCCAACATCCCAAGGCTCTATTATCACGTAAAGCCATAAGCTTTACGTCCAGGCATGGAACTTAGGGCTTGAAATGCCAAGAACATGCTCTATTAAAGGTTTTTCACTCAAAATCTCTATTATGGTTGAATAAAGCAATGACCTTTGGACTCTAGGGACCTCACACGGTCCAGATCTGAAGTCCAAATCTCTATATAAACTCAATACACTCAAAGTCCCAATATTAGATGGAAAAAGCCCTAAACTGCATAACCATGAGATCTTCCCAACAAAATGAGGAAGGTGTGGACTTTTTACCTTTCAAAGAATCTCTTGGTTGAAATAGCAACGGATCTAACAACCTCTTCTTGCCCCTTGGCTTGAAATCCTTCTCTTCAAAAGATGCACCAAAGCACTCAATGTTAGCTCAAACACTCTCTCTTAGCTTAATGGTTGATTAGGGTTTGTCTCAGTGAAGTTGGGTAGCTGGTGAGCCCCAAATGAGGATATAAGTTTGCTTAAATAGGCCCCAAACCTGGGGATTTAGGGTTTCATCACTCAGCGTCTACTCGGCGAGTCGACTCTCTGACTCGTCGAGTAGGTTACTTGTCCCACGTGGCCAAATACGACTCTACTCGACGAGTTGAGGCACCAACTCGTCCAGTCACCCAGACAAACTCAAAACTAACATATAAAAATTGTATACCTCAGAGTCAGTATGTTACATTGAGAAGCGAGGATGAATCCTGTGTATTTGTCAAAGCTAGTGGAAGTATAGTTAGCTTTTCTGGTGTTGTATGTGGATGACATACTTCTCATAGGAAATGACATTCCAACCTTGCAGGAGCTTAAGTCCTGGCTTGGGAAGTGTTTTTCTATGAAGGACCTTAGAGAAGCTGCTTACATTCTAGGGATAAAGATATCGAGAAACATGAGTAAAAGACTAATAGGACTTTGTCAAAGCACCTACTTGGATAAGGTGTTGAAACGTTTCAGCATGGAGATTTCCAAGAAAGGAGACTTACCTATCCAGAGCAATACCAAACTGAGTAAGACTCAGAGTCCGAGTACAGAGGCTGAGATAGCAGAAATGAGTCGAATACCACATGCTTCTGCAGTTGACTCGATCATGTATGTTATGACATGTACTCATCCTGATGTGGCATTTGCTTTGAGCATGTTCAACATATATCAAGGGAACCCTAGTAAAGCTCACTAGAGTGAGGTAAAGAACATTCTTAAGTCCCTACAGAGGACTAATGACTGGGTCCTTACCCTCGGTTGGAATGATGAAGTGAGAGTTACAGGGTATAGTGACACCAGTTTTCAGACCAACAGAGATAATTTCCGCTCTCAGTCGGGATGGGTATTTACCCTTAATGGAGGAGCAATAACATGGAAAAGTTCCAAACAAGAAACTGTGGCTGATTCAACCTGCGAATCAGAGTACATAGCAGCAAGCGAAGCAGCAAAGTAGGCAATATGTCTTAAGAATTTCATTGGATACCTTGGA